GTTAATGTTTGCACAGCAGCACAATGGTCTCTATCTGATATCCTCATCTGCTACCTATCAGGTTAATACTAAACCGAGGTGGCTAGATGGACCAGATAATGAATAAAAGAACAAGACTGAGGTAAAAAGTCATATGAATAATAAAATGTGCATTTAAGGAATAGTTCACCTAAAAATGATCATTTGTCTTTACATACTTTTACATTAAACACAGAATAAAGCATTCATTTGGAAAGCATCTTAGATGTGCAAAATATCGTACCACTGAAAAAAGAAACTCTACAAGTTTAGAATGAAGGTCATTAGATGACGGTTGAATTGGGTGAAATTTTCCTTCAAATATATACTCACCAAGAAGAAAAAACTGTTGATATAAATAGGAGGATGTGACTTTTAACTTTCCCACCAGCTCATTTGCATGTTCTAAACAAAAATTACATTGTATTTATATGAAGTCTGTCCACCTTATTTTTAAAGTAAGAGTGACAGTGGTCATTTATTTGGGCTGTCTGAATTTTTGGAATCGATTCCCAATTCCTTGTTCTGGAATTGATGGAATTCAAGAATTCCGAATTCTGAAAATCTCTTCACTGTTTTTTTTATTTCTATTACAGGGGTCATATGATGCTTTTTTAAAGATCATTATTTTGTGTATTTGGTGTAACAGAATATGTTGACATGCTTTAATGTTCAAAAAACATAATTTTTCAAATACTGTACATTATTGTAGGTCCTCTATGCCCCGCCTCTCTCAAACACGTCGTTACTCTGCACAAAACTCCGCATTTGAACAGTCAATAGCAAATACTTAAACTAATAACAAAACATACTTACAGTCGCTGATTCAGAAGCGCCAGATTGTCATAGCAAAGTCGGAATTGACCTTTTTTTTTTTTTTTTTTTTTAGAAATAGCCTTTGTGCACAGCCAGCCTTGTACTCTTCAAGGTTCAAAAAACTGCCGTCCATAAAATGCGCTGCACAAATTCAAACATCTGGGTTGTGCTGTTCTGTTGTAAATAAATCTTAACCAATGATTCCTAATTGCATCTACTTCCGGAAGGCCAAATAAAGTGCTTTCGCTTTTGCACTGAAACGCAGCGTCTCCCTGACATGGCTGCATCAACACGACTGCTGTTCCTGAAACCACGCCTTCTTTCTTTGTGTGCACATTTGGGCGGCATTATGCTAAAATCTTCCCACACAGTGACATAGACATGTGGGGGCGTGTTAGAACGAGCCGTTTTAGGAGGGCGTGGACAAGTCTTAACTTTTATAAAGAATATCTCTTTGGATTTGAGACTTTAGTCTTTGCAACTTTACAGATCTTCTTTATGCACCAAGAGCTTGTAACACTCCGAAGAGAAAGGAAAAATTGAAATCGCATCACATGACCCCTTTAAGGAAATGTTGCAGGAACATGTTCACCTATTCTCACCATGACTACAAGATACAGTTTGTAAAATGAAGCTTTAGGCTACTTGGTAAATATAAAGATACATTTCTATAGCTGTGATTGATTTTACATGTTGCCAATCACAATTAGCAAGGGAGAGGTGAATTAATGATCAGTTCAAACAAATTAAAAACTTTTGGAATCGACTCTTAATTCCCAAAGCCTCAGAATCGAAACTGATTCTTTTTGGAAAACGATTCCCCGTCCTACCATTGTCATTCGCTTCCAGGTATTTTAGCTGCCAAAAAAAGTCTGTTATGCTGCTTTATATTAGAAACTTGTATTTGTTATCATAGGCCTATTATTTTGATTTATTATCATAATCATAGACTTAGCGCAAATAGTTTTACCGTTTAATATTCTTCTAGTTATTTAGGCAACCATATAGGCTAACGAATTGGAAGTCTCGCACATTCATTGAAAATAGCTTACTGCCACTTTGCAAAACACGGCTCTCTGGAATAGGCTACTTGATTCTGATTGGTCAATCGCGGTATTTGGCGGTCTGATATTTGGAACGCTGTATTTCAAAATCCAGCGCTACTTTCGCGCCTCTCGTGTCAAGTGCAGCCTCCCGCTCTTGTTTCATATAACCGCAACGGTTGTAAAAAAATTACCTCAGACTCAGAGTAGTTCTGTATTAATATTCCTGTATTATTATTTTTTTTCGCCCAGGAAGCTTTAAGACAACACACAGGTAAGAATGTTATTTGAATTTCATGTAGGCCCATTTATTTGCGAGTATAGCTATACAATAAACGGGATAATGTGAAATCATCTGGTCATTATCGCAAAATAAACCCTGATAGGGTGATACAAATCCCTTAATATACGTGATGCACCTTTTCATACCTGTTGTAATTAATCGATTGTATTAGGTAGTAGATCTATAGAGCCAGGTGGGAAATGTTCTATCACAGTCGATGGGCATGTGTGACAGGGTGTTAAATCTGAGGGAAGCTATTTTTGAAGAACAGTCTGCTGGACATCGCCTAGAATGTGCCGCTGACCTTCACAGGTTTGCACCTGCTTCACGGCACAGGTGGTTTGTTTTTGGAAAATACCTGAAAATGGTTAGAGATGCAGTGCCTTTTTGGGCTGTAAAAGTCAAAAGAGTTCTGTGAAGCAGAGTTTTAATGTGTCATAAATGGGTTTTTGACACCCCGTATGTAATTCCAGGGTTAAATTGAGGGTATATAACCAGTGATTCATTTAAATTACATCTGTGTGCATGTAATAAAATAAGCCCCAGGCGTCTACTGTAATCTCTATGTGAAAGTGCGCCATCTAGCGGCTATAGTGTGAATGTACACGTTACAAGTATGGTAGGTTCCACTATAGGCTGACAAAAATCACATTTAAAGAATTATTAGTAAATAAGAAAATGAATTATATAAAAAATAATTTCTATAAAAAAGCCATGTAATGCCAGTTATAATCCACATCCGTTCATTTTGCAGTAAACTAAAGCTCTCTACCGCCCCCTTGTGGTTAGCGAATTAATACAAATACAGTGAAATTTGACTTTAAAAGTGTGCAGATGACTTGAATGACAGTATGTGTTTGCAATGGACGAAGAAAGTCAATTTCAAACACCTTTTCTTGCAATATACAGTGACTAAAATGGTTATAATTAACATGTAATCCAGGGGTCTTTAACCTTTTTCAGACCAAGGTGAGACAAGACTCCCATTACTCCCAATGTGTAAAATTAAGAATGATCTGGCCTGTAATAATAATTACTGATGTATAGTCACATACGTAACATTTTACTTTACCACATTTTACCATAAATCAGTTCGTTAAACTTTAGATTTTTTGACTTTAGCTTTGGTTATTTTAATATTGTCAGAATTGATTTGAACAGGAACTTGCCCCACACCAGCTTAATTACAACATGAAAACACTTTATTCGCCTGATATTATGGAGTATCTTATGGGAAACTGTTCAAAAGAGAGAAACAAAAGATATTACTGACTTGTATTTCATACAGTAATGATGAACCAGTAAATATTAAATGGCTTATTAAGGTATCCCACCTCTTGGCTTCTTAGTAATCTATGGTCATAATTACAATGCCTACTGAACATTAAGCAAAAACACAAAGATCACAAGCGTACAGCAGTTTGTTTCCAAAACAGATGGGACGATATATTCAACGTCTCATACTCATAGCGTACTAGCATGCACTGTGGCTGGGCTTAAATGGGGAAAAATAGCAGCACAAGACAAATAGTGCAAGGAAAGCCTGTCAATTCTACAGTCTAGTTACAAAAGATATTTGTCAAAGCTTGGTGCTAGGCATTCAAAACCCGCCCCAACTCCACCCCATCGCTTTTTCGGGCAGAGATGAAGAATATAAGGGGAAGGGCTTTGGAACAACAATTCACATTCGGTCTGAACAGCAAGCATTTTTCCTCTCTATAACGGTTTACGTTGGGAATAAATTTACAAGTACGCCTCTAAAGGATCTAAAGCAGGGTTCCTCAAATCTTGCCCGGGAGGGCCAATGCGCTGCAGAGTTTAGCTCCAACCCTACACAAACTCCCCTACCTGTGATTTTCTAATGATCCTGAAGACACTGATTAGCATGCTCAGGTGTGTTTGATTAGGGTTAGAGCTAAACTCTGCAGGAAAGTGGATCTCGTGGGCCAGATTTGAGGATCCCTTACCTAAAGGATCTCATAAAATCTAAAAGGAGCTAAATGAGAGATGAAAGACTACAGGCCTATGCTTTAAGCTTTGAATAAATACATAAATAAATACACATCATGCTTCCTTGACATGAATGTGAGTAGTTTAGTCAGGCTTATTATGGATGCATAATTATGCATATGAAAATCTCCCTCAATACCTACTTGCATACAAAACATCCGAAAGCCTATAAAGACTGTTTTTTAAATTGAACTATATCCTAAAAACCTAATTTAACTCTTCAAACTACAGCATTCACAATCTGTGAAGTAATTAAGAGTCCTTGTCAGTTTGATTACATATCAGTTCAATGGACGCATTCATGTTTTGTAAATGTTGTTACACTAATTGGCTGCGTTTGATTTTTCCGTTGCTCGTTTCACATCAAAGTGAGAATCTACAAGTGCGACTCTCTCTCTGACAGATTACCTTCAAAGCTTATCTTCCAGTTCAAATGTGATGCTAATTAATAACGGGGAGGGGCGCTTTGAAAGTATTCATAGTAAAACTAAACGTTCGCTGTAGTATCTAAACGCCAAAGCTTGACAAATAACCCTGCTCTTCTTTTGAGGTTGTGGTGCAATCTACCATCTGAGCCCCTGTGTTTATACAGTGCGTTTTTTTAGGAATTCGATAAGAACGTATCACAACAGCGATAAGAAACTTGTTGCGAAGTTCTTCATGAGCTCTAGTGTATGTATACATTATAGGCAAAAATGCGTTAGTACATTATGTGAACAAGCACCTATACTACAATTCCAAGAGGTTTTGTAAATTCAGTGAGGAGACTAGTATTCAGACAGGACGTACGTCGTAAACGATATAATAAATGTCATCATGCATGTTTTTTTTATATATAGAAAAACAATGTAACTTCCCCTTAAATTGCGAGAAATAGCTCTGGAGATGTGTTGAACCCTAGTCGTCAAAAGTATCGACCTCTTCAGTGCTTTTACAGAGATGTTTTGCTGAGGTCAACCTTGACCGGAAGCGGCCCCGCCTCCTTGCTCTCCTCCGATTGGGCGATTGTCATTGCGATCACTGGCATCAAGTGATAGGGGTTGACCTTCTGGGTGTCAACCATGAACTCTTTATCTCCGTTGATGCTAAGCTGTAGATACAACATTGATTATCAACATTTAACTTGCCAAATTATGTATTCAAAATAATAATAATAAATTGTATTTGTAATGCCTCAAAACTATATTAGAGCTTCTTTCAAGTAGCCACGTTTTTGAAGAAGTTCATATATATGCTGGATACTTGTTGGCTGCTTCTCCTCTGCTCCAATTCATCCATTTAAAGAAATAGTCTCTCCTTGTCTGGCTTGTATTTCTTTGGTAGTGTTTGTTTGATGAATGAACGGGTACCTGGGTCTTGACGTGCTGCTCGGGTGCCGTGACCAGACTGGCACAGCTCAGCCACAGCATCACCATGATAGACAGGAAGAGACAAGCTGCTAAAATCCAACGCGGCAGTCCTGAGCGCCTAGGGGAAATATACGTGGGAAGAAGTTACATATTGAAAGAATATTGTAGAAATTATGACACTTTAAAAAAAGTGTATATTAGTGTATATAGTTGCAGTTTATATATATATATATGTGTGTGTGTGTGTGCAAATATATAAATTATATACATTTAAAAATATTTAAATGTATTTATTTATATTTGTAACATGTATGTGTAAAATATTTAAACTGTAATATTTTACAGTTTAAATATAATATATACAAATTAATTTAAAAAATATTAAAATATATACATTATTTATAAAAATACATAAAACAAAATTACATGTATTAGAAAGTTATATATTTAAAAATGTATATATTTAAATATATTTACAAATAAATTATATGTATGTTAAATATGTAAATATTTTATTATATAAAATATATTAAAATATGGAAGTTAAATGTAAAAATTAAATCAATATATATATACACACACACACACACACACACAACAAAATCGTTATAAATTACTAATGTTATTGTTTATATACACAATTTAAGAAAACTATAAAATATTAACAAATTCCATGTGATATTTCAGTTTTTCTTTTTTAATAAATCTGCAAAAATGTCAACAATTCTGTGTTTTTCTGTCAATATGGGGTGCTGTGTGTACATTAATGAGGAAAAAAAATTAACTTAAATGATTTTAGCAAATGGCTGCAATATAACAAAGAGTGAAAAATTTAGAGGGGTCTGAATACTTTCCGTACCCACTGTATATGTAAATATAATTTCTACAAATTACAGAAAACTTTTTTTGAAAATAAGGCATTCAATAACTGACTAATAACTTTTTCATTGCCAGTGAAATTACTAAACCTAAACATTTCATTAAAAAAAAGCTTGTGACATTTTTGCATCTGAAGTCTTCGTATATATATATATATATATATATATATACTGTATATATGTATTATATATTTTATATATTACATTTTTTATTTAACCGTTATTTTACTAGGAAAAGAAGCACATGGGATTAAAAATCTCTCTTACAAGAGCGTCCTGCCAAGATTGACAGTAACACCGCTCACGTGGGTTTAACAGATAACATCCATACGTATGGATGTGGGGGATCCATACGAGGGTTAAACATGTCCTGACTGAAAAAAAGTCCCTTTCACCTTGACATGCAGCCCAGGAAGTCGTGCTCAGCAGCTGGGTCCTCGGCATGTTGGTTGACATGCTTTGCTTTCGCCCCAGGTTTTGCCGCATTCCTCTCCCCATGTGACCGCCCTCCTGGAAGGATGAAGAGGCAGCACTTTCAGCATGTGGACATTGATTTTATGACCCTCCAGCTTCGGACAAACTACAGCGGCGCGGCGCCGGATGTGTCGTAAATGAAAGTCAAAGCTCAAGCTCAAGCTCAAGCTCTGGTTCTTGGCTCCACTTAAATGAGCTTTCAGAGGAAAAAAAGAAAGCTGTCAGCAGCCATCTGGGGTGAAAGCGGTCACTCTTACCAGTATGTGGCCGCTGTGTGTGGGAGTTGACTTGGGGCCAAGGTTTGTCGACCACGTTGGAGCGTGGGGCTTGTAACTCAGGCAAGGAGTACTCAATCTCTGGCTGGCTCTGGGAGAATCAACAAACACAATGTCAAGGGCAGCAAACAGCATTATGGGATTTACTCAGCAGAAAGGCTTCTGAATGAAACGGTTGGGTATGTGACCGTTTTGTTGTGGTGAGGATTTCAACACAATCATGCACTGAGCGGCAAAGCAGAAATACAATTTACAAACATACAGATGATGAATAGCACAGTTAATTATAATAACGTCGAGGGCACATTTAAAAAATATGAGCAAAAACTAGCTGCTAATGCAGCTCCTGCTTGCGCCTGCATCACAGCTAGAATGAGCTGAAATTTGATGTCATTTGCAATCTTTTATGAAACTGGGTCATTACTGCCTATATGTTTGCATGGTAAGAGTGATGTTGTTTAGTCGATCTGAAATCATGAAAAAGTTTAACAAAACTTAATTTATGTTCAAATAAAATCTGAGGTATATACACTGCTGTTTCTTTTTTCCTAAAGAAATTAGAATGGTATTAGATATTAGAATGATTTCTGAAGGATCATGTGCAAGTCTTTTATTTATTTTTACATTTTATATTATAAAAGTATTTCTTAGATTTTTAACTAATTTTATAACCTACAACTGTGTTCTCAACAACCTTGGCAAGCAGCATACAGGAATATATATATTTGTTTACTTTTTTGTTTGTGTTGCACTTGGTAGCCACACCCACAGTGGAATCTCATTGGTCCAATCTGCCTGTTTAATAAACACCAAATATTGTCTAATTGGCTGTGATGTTGCCACTTCGCACAGCATTAGTGCTCTAACAGACTTACTACTACCCACTCAATTGTTGTCAAGCTGCACCCAGTAAGGACATGGCATAAGACGGATAAGTCAACATTTTGGTTTTACCCCTTCAAGAATCCTTAAAAGCTAGTCAGCTGCTTCCAGCTTGAGAAACCATGCAGGAACATCGTGTTAACAGAGTCCCTCTTTCCACTCCCAATTACATGGCTGCCTGGCGGCGCTAAGCCATGCTGGTCAAATCGAGTGCTAGACGCCAACTCTGACAAGAGCGAGGGGACTACTTGACTTGAATAAGAGCTTTTAAGCGGCCACTTTCAAGCAGGATCCAAAGGATGTGATTTGAAATCTGCCTTATTAGTCTACGACTAGATGTGTCCCATTCTGCCCCTCCATCTCGCCCTGTATGTGTAAATTAGTACATGTTTTTTCAGACTTTGTTTCTTTAGTTCCCCCTTGAGATCTTATTAAAGAGAGATTTTTGCTCTCTTCCACTGAGTTCTTCTAAATCGGGCTCAGCAGAGCGGACCTCTGAGATAACCTCTCTAGGGAGGCTCATATGAACCTTCGAAATGACCACAGAGAGGCAAACACACATGGTTTTTCATGTCAAGCCGTGGTAGACAAGAACGCAAGGAACTGTTTGGAGTGTCATGTTATTCCTACAGTCTAATAGTCTGTAACTGGACGCATACGGAGTACATTGGGATTGTACTTTTTACAGATGTATAACTGACTGGTGTGTCCAATCTTAATTTCTAAAGATTAAAGGAATAGTTCAGACAAAATGAAAATCCTGTCATCATTTACTCACCCTCGTCATGTTCTAAACCCATATGACTTTTTTCTGCGGGGAGAAAATCTGAAGTCTGTTTTCTGTGTGCTTTTTTATGCAATTACAGTTAATTACAGCAATTACAGGGAGTGAAGCTTTCAAGCATCAAAAAGGGTAAAAGTATCAAAAGTCTTTCGTAAGACGTGCACTATATTGATCTTGAGAACTAAATAAGTTGGATTAATGAACAAATCATTCAAGGTTGTGTTTCATGTACAACAGCGTAACTCGCTGCTTAAAGGGGTAGTTAACCCCAAAATGAAAATTACCCCATGATTTACTCACCCTCAAACCATCCTTGGTGTATAAGACTTTATTCTTTCAGACAAATACAATCGGAGTTATATTAAAAAATGTCCTGGCTCTTTCAAGATTTATAATGGCAGTGAATGGCGGTCAAGATTTTGAAGCCTAAAAAAGTGCATCCATCCATCCTAAAGTATACTCCATATGGCTCCAGGGGTTAATAAAGGCCTTCTGAAGTGAAGCGATGAGTTTGTGTAAGAAAAATATGCATATTTAAAACTTTATAAACCGTAATCTCTTAGCTTCCGCTAACTGTCATACCCACGTTCATGAGAGTGGTGTTCCAGTGGATGACGTAGGATGACATAGGATTTAAGTGTAGTGTAAATTCTGGTGAGAATATGCTAGTCTCGCGAAAACCAAGTTTTGTTAACAGCAAAGGAAACCCAGTCTCCTCTTTTTCTTAACAAATCCTCATTTTGTACTTCTAATTTGTGACCAGTGTTTTCTTTTGCTCTCTCCTCTGCGCTTACGCGTTCATCACTTCTCACCGGAGATTAACTTCTGGTTTGAGATCAAATTCTTGTCAGATTATTGCTGTAAATAACGAACATGGCATCTGAGGTCTAATTCACTCATTATTTCACTAATTCGCTATGTTTTGCTTTATTTCAGATGTTTGATTCAATCGTGGTGCTAGAGCACATTCGCACATGCTCACTCTTCAAAAACTAAAAAAACATTTAATTAAATTAGTATACAGTATGTATGAAATGAAAGAAATTAACTATATTACTGCATAGATTGCACTACATGTTAGCTTACGTATTTTGCTCAAGAGTGTTGTCATGTTGTACTAACAAAAAACTACATTTCAAACCACAGGCCGAGAGCTGTAGCACAGTTATACATTCTGAGTACAGAATTCAAATTCTTTACATAAACAAACATGGGAAAACATGAAGTCATGAAATGCCACATAGTATGGGCAATTTAGCTCTGCGAAAAGCTCGAATCTCGCAGTTGCGTTAATTGAAAGGGATGCTGTCAAAAATATTGAATCCAGATGTCCGCAAGGGATGAGAATCAAAGGGGGAAAAATGAACATCTGAGGAAGTTAATGTTGACTGGCCACAGACCAATGGAATCTTGCCATTAGTGAAAGCGGTCTGATGTGCATCTGTCACGCATTACTGCAGAACTCGCCAAAGGTGATCAATGCAGCTTACGAGACTGCCAAGAAGACGAGGCCGAGATTGTTGACTTCATAGTAAACAATCCCATTTCCCTTATTAGGTATTTGCTTGCTTTCTCCAAACTCATCTTTTCGCATGTAGCAGCCATCCACATTGAACTAGTCCAGAATTTAAACAAGATGGCCGACCTCCTTCCAAACAAAAATCCATCGCACCAATCAGTGGCTATTCAGCAACCGAGTCGTGTTTACCCTTCAGCTCAGAGGAAATAGTCTGATTCCTGTTGATTACCTCTGAGGGACTCATCAAAACCCTGGACAGAACAGACAAACAAGCTCAGACTGCAGCGTAACCAATGTCAAATGTCCACCTGGTACTGATGTGAAACTAGGCTGCAGCTCATAGCATATATCTGGGGGATTTTTGTGTGTCTTTTTTATTTGAATAAAAAAAACAAATATCTGGGTTACAGAGGTACTTATGGAAGTGAATGGGGCCAATCTGTAAATGTTAAAACACTGTTTCACTAGTACAACCACAAGACGTAAACAATATGCCAGTTAACATGATTTTAGTGTTGAAAAACGCTTACTAACCTTTTGTGTAAAGTTATATCCAATTTTACAACAAACCTAAACTACTGTAAAAATTATTTAAACAGCAGCTCAAATAATACACAGAAAAATTACTTTGTTTGGTCATCCAAAAGAGGACACGACTAGAAATCAGTGGTTAAGTTGTATTTACAACACTGTTCCAGAACACTTCAACCCAAATATTCAGATGTGTGCAGCACATTTTATGGAGGACTGTTTCCTGATCCTGGTAGAGTAGACTACAATGCCGGCTGTTCTGACTCACAGCTGGTAAGTACGTTTTTCATATTTAAAGAATTTGCCACTGATGATTCAAACGTGAGTTTTGAGCAGTGTAGAGTAGCGCTTGTTGTTTGTCATTTCTCCGATCACAAATGCAGACATGGTTTTATGTTTACGCGGCGCGATGCAACGCAACGGGTAAAAAGACAGTATAAATCATTATAATCCGTAATTATGTCCCCACTGGATGCAACGAATGCCTCGTTTATAATGGGATTTAATGTTTTTGTCTCGTCGCGCCGGGACACGGCATCACAGTATGGTAAGGGCGTAACATTTCCGTCACACGCTTGAAGTATTCGGCCAATCACAACGCACTGGATAGCTGGCCAATCAGAGCACACCTCGCTTTTCAGACCGATGAGCTTTGTAAAAATCGACGCTTTTCAGAAAGGCGGGGCATAGAGGAGAACCAATAATGTACAGTATGTGGAAAATAATGTGTTTTTTTAACCTTAAACCGCATAAACACATTTTACTACACCAAATACACAAAATAATGTTCTTTTTAGCAGCATCATATGACCCCTTTAATGAAAATTAGAAATGTTGCCTTGGTGAATAACTGACAAAATAATTTGAAGTACCAAAACAAAAACTGAAATAAAAAAGCTAAATTAAAAACAAAACTGAAACCGATTACATAAAATTACTAATTCAATTACTAAAACTAATTCAAATGAAAACTGAAAAAAAAGCTAATTCTAAATATTAATAAATACTGTAGTATATAAATAATACTAAAATAACACAGGGGGACATTTTGTGCAGTTCATGGTAGAACTATAAATGTTTTCAGGATATTAGGTAACAAAATTGTTTATTTAACAAAACTGAACAAAAGTTTTGTCACTGTTTAAAGCAAAATTAGTTGAGAACCACAGTTGCGGTTTACTCAGAACGCAGAGACGCCGATGGACAAACCTGAAACACAACAACCTTCCCATCATCAGCCTGCAGGTAGAAAGTCCAGGTGGAAGAAATGAAGCTCTGGGCGGAACTGACGATGTCATTGCACCAGCTAGACACGGCATCCATAACGGAGATGGGCTTGGGCCGGTTGGTCAGGGCCTTGAGCTGCAGATCAAGCCAAGAGCAATTTAATGGAGTTTGATAGAGATGTCAAAACATCACTGCAACCCCAAAAGGAAACAACAGAGAGTCGTACCTTCCTCCGTTTGATCTCCGGCTCAGCGGGTTGGCTGGCACACCCCGTGCTGCACGCCTCCTGCTCCAGCAAACACATCAATTCGCTTCAGAAGACCTTTATTAACTCCCCGGAGCCACGTGGAGCACTTTTTATGATGGATGGATGCACTTTATTAGACTTTAAATTCTCAACAGCCATTCACTGCCATTATAAAGCTTGGAAAAGTCAGGACATTTTTAATATAACTCCGATTGTATTCATCTGAAAGAAGAAAGATATATACTCCTAGGATGGCTTGAGGAGGAGTAAATCATGGAGTAATTTTCATTTTTGGGTGAACTATCCCTTCAAGATGCGGTCACGTTTACTGTTACTGTAACAGTAACAGTACAGTACCATCAAATTTCTGTGCTTGAAATGCAGTGAAATATGGGACATTTTAATTTGAAGGTGAAAGAAACTGAAACTGTAGCTTAGCGAGCTACACGCTAATCATAATTTGAGGTAGTTAGCCATAAGCTGCTAACGAAACCTAAATAAATTACGATTCGTTTCATTATGAGCTTTGGTAGTATTCTATAAAAATGAATGAATGAAAGTGGCATTTTAAAGTCTCTATAAAGTATGTGAGAAGTCATTTAAACACACCTTCTGCAATAATTAAATTGAAACATATCGTAATTGTTATATCTGTTCTGTTGATATCAAATTAACTCATTGTTTTTAAGGGCATTTAAGAATCGTTCAAATCAGTTCTCGTCCCAAAAGATGAACCACCTCTAGTGCGAAGTGATGCAGGCTGCAAGGAAAAGAAGGATCTCAGTTTCTAACTATATTTTTAAAGAACAATTCCTTCACATGATTATATACAAGCTAAACGAACGTAATTGAAAGAAGATCAGGCACTTTCTTTCGGAACATGCTTCACAACTCCTTGTTCAAGCTCTTGTTCTGTCCAGGCTGGACTATTCCAATGCTCTCTCGGCTGGTCTTCCAGCCATTTCTATCAAACCTTTACCATTAACAAGCAAGATTAATTTTTAATGAGCCAAAAAGAATGCACTTCACACCTCTGTTTATCAATTTGCACCGCCCCTTTACCTAAATTCATTACTTCAGAGTTATGTGCCCTCTAGAAGCTTGCGTTCTGCAAGTGAACGACACTGTATTGTGCCATCTCAAAGAGGCACAAACTCACTTTCACGGACTTTTAAATGAACTGTTCCCTCCTGGTGGAACAACCTGCCCAACTCAATCCCAGCAGCTGAGTCCTTAACCATCTTCAAGAATCGGCTAAAAACACATATCTTCCATCTTCATTTGACCCTCTAACTCTGGCACTCTCTATTCTAAATCTTTTTTTTTCTTCTTACTTTTCCCTTTTAGACTTGCACTCTATTCATTTACTGCTTGTTTTCTTAAAAAATCTACTAACACTAGCTTTTCTAATCTTTTTGTATTCTATCTGTTTTCTTTTCATTTACTCTACAATTAACAAAAGCTAAAAAGGCCTCTAACACTAGCTTGCTCTATTCTTTTTCTATTCTGTCTGTTTTCTTTTTATTTATTATATTATTTAAAAAAAACTTGCTACGTGTACTGCGTTAAGCTAACTGAGACTTGTATTAACACTTGCGTTTCATTGCTCTTTTGCTGATTTTGATTGCTTCTATTGTCCTCATTTGTAAGTCGCTTTGGATAAAAGCATCTGCTAAATGACTAAATGTATATATATATATATGTGTGTGTGTGTGTGTGTGTTTATGTGTGCTTTAATGTTTGAAACTGAATAATACAACTGTGACCAGGAATAAAACACATACCCTAACTTTTATAGAAAAAAAAGAAAGTAAAAATGTATTTATGGTTATGAGAAATGAATGAAATAATCTCTAAATTATAGTGTGTCCAAACTATTCAGGCATTACACAATTCGTTGTAAAGTAGCACTGGGTGTGGAGCTGCATTACACAAAACAGACCATTATAAACTATGCGATGTAGACAAAAATTAATCGTGTGTATTGGCTGTAGAACAAACTTTAGATGTAGCCTACATCTGTTCCTACGTGAGGAACAGCAGACAAATACAAAAAGGAAGGATTTGGGGAAGGATTTGTTTCATTATTTTCTGTTGTGGCAAGCTTAGTATACAAAAAAAGAAAAGAAAACACTGGCTGCAGATGCGCTACTAATAATGACTTGTGGCTGTGTGGTAAGACATGGGAGGAGCTTCAGAAGAATCAACTTTTTCAGCTTTTGAGGCGTGCGCTATATTGATTCTTCTCCAATTTTGAGAGTGAAGGTAAATCTGAGCGTCCTCTCCGCATAATGGTGCTTTCCAGAACCAGCAATGATTTTACTGGTGATTAAGGCTTTTCATTTTCAGCAATTTATGTGAAGGAGAATGGATTCTCATCAGCATGATAAGAATCGAGTTGAGAGGGCGCGCGGCAGACAAATGGCAATTTTAGTCATTAAGTTGTTTTTTGTTGCGCTTCTTCCATATGCGCTCACAGCACGTAAGTACAATTTCAAGTGTATTTGAAGTTTACTTCGAAGTAAAGTTATTTGAGAATATGTCTACAAACTTCTCATCTTCATTTAAAGGTCTTGTTGGAGGTGTTTATGTTTTCATTTTCATCTCTACTCACGTTTGTGTCAATTTTGAGGTCATATTCGTCTTAGTTTACGGTAAAATGCAATAGTTAAGAAAGATTTATTCATTTGAACTGTAAAAAAAAAACTAACACTTGTTTTCTAATCTTTTTGTATTCTATCTGTTTTCTTTTCATTTACTCTACAATTAACAAAAGCTAAAAAGGCCTCTAACACTAGCTTGCTCTATTCTTTTTCTATTCTGTCTGTTTTCTTTTTATTTATTATATTATTTAAAAAAAACTTGCTACGTGTACTGCGTTAAGCTAACTGAGACTTGTATTAACACTTGCGTTTCATTGCTCTTTTGCTGATTTTGATTGCTTCTATTGTCCTCATTTGTAAGTCGCTTTGGATAAAAGCATCTGCTAAATGACTAAATGTATATATATATGTGTGTGTGTGTGTGTGTTTATGTGTGCTTTAATGTTTGAAACTGAATAATACAACTGTGACCAGGAATAAAACACATACCCTAACTTTTATAGAAAAAAAAGAAAGTAAAAATGTATTTATGGTTATGAGAAATGAATGAAATAATCTCTAAATTATAGTGTGTCCAAACTATTCAGGCATTACACAATTCGTTGTAAAGTAGCACTGGGTGTGGAGCTGCATTACACAAAACAGACCATTATAAACTATGCGATGTAGACAAAAATTAATCGTGTGTATTGGCTACAGAACCAATTTTAGATTAAAAACACTATTTGAGGAACGGCCGACCAGTACAAAAAGGTTTTTGGAAAGGGTTTATTCCATTATTTTCTGTTGTGGCCAACTTAGTATACAAAAAAAGAAAAGAAAACACTGGCTGCAGATGCGCTACTAATAATGACTTGTGGCTGTGTGGTAAGACATGGGAGGAGCTTCAGAAGAATCAACTTTTTCAGCTTTTGAGGCGTGCGCTATATTGATTCTTCTCCAATTTTGAGAGTGAAGGTAAATCTGAGCGTCCTCTCCGCATAATGGTGCTTTCCAGAACCAGCAATGATTTTACTGGTGATTAAGGCTTTTCATTTTCAGCAATTTATGTGAAGGAGAATGGATTCTCATCAGCATGATAAGAATCGAGTTGAGAGGGCGCGCGGCAGACAAATGGCAATTTTAGTCATTAAGTTGTTTTTTGTTGCGCTTCTTCCATATGCGCTCACAGCACGTAAGTACAATTTCAAGTGTATTTGAAGTTTACTTCGAAGTAAAGTTATTTGAGAATATGTCTACAAACTTCTCATCTTCATTTAAAGGTCTTGTTGGAGGTGTTTATGTTTTCATTTTCATCTCTACTCACGTTTGTGTCAATTTTGAGGTCATATTCGTCTTAGTTTACGGTAAAATGCAATAGTTAAGAAAGATTTATTCATTTGAACTGTGGTAACTTGTCATTAGCCATGACTTTCTTCAAAAGAAAAAAAAAAACAATGACAGAAATGTTCTGAAAGCTTCTCATACTGTTTAAAGGCGACCTTATAATAGTTTACAGCACTAATAATAACTTACATATGGAAGAAACTAATGGAAATTAATGCAAAAGTGTGTAAAGACATGCTATATTAAGATGTAAATAGATCTACAATATGATAATAACTGTGTATTAATAAACAGAAAAACCTAAAGTAAAAGAAGTTGTGTTACTGACAAATAGTTCGTCTTGGAGTGCACTATTGCTTTTATGAAACAGTCACTACATGACTGACAAGATTATCAAGGATACAAATTAATTTATTTAAAAAGCAAATTCATTAAGTTACGCATCCTTCCGCTAGAAGAGATGAAAACTGAGTACATAATTGAAAATTATTGTGAATAGAATTGTTCATTCATTAGTCAGTTTTTCCAAACAATGCTAAAGGAGTAAAAGCTTCCAATAAGGTAAGCCTTTCCTAACAAGTACAGTACCATAGTTTATAGATTAATTATTCAGTCTTGTTTCCCAACACTTCAGTGTTTCTTAGTGTCCAATGGCACATGTTAAAGAGTTTGTCTGCCTCCCACCAGGAGCAGAAATGATCTGCATCAACACTCGGTTTCCCCGAAGGCCAGTAGTAGCTCTTTCAATCCAGCCATCGTTCCCTCTGAACATTTGTCTTAAACATGAATAAATATGAGCTCTGCGGACACACAAGACGAATATTTACAAGATGGAAAACCACTTAAGTTGCTGAAAAATGACCTTGTGCGCCCTTTCCAACTGCGGTCATAAATCCAGTTGTAAAAATTGCTGGAATCATGAAGTCTCCTCTTCTTCTGACCCCCAGACTTGGCTGTCATATCCCCCCAGGATCCAGTGCTTCATATCGGCTCGAGTTTGACTGCGGTGTGCACCATTAGCACCGAGCTGGAAATAACAGCTAGATCCTTGTACTGGACGCTGAATGGAAAACGCTTGGCTAGAAACACTTATAAGGTCCTTAGCCCGACCGAATCCAGCGTCACACT